CAGATGGTAGCAGCAGCCCGGGAGAAGGTGAGGACACTGCTCAGAAGTCAGTTCCCAGAGGAGGCCAGAGAAAAAGGTGGCTTGTTTTGAGCACAGGGTGTGTGAGCTGAACCCTTATAGTAGCCCCACACCCTAGAAACCCAGTCTCCCATCACTCCAGTCCCCAACCACAGGGTTCTCAGCTCTCTGAGGAGGCGTGATGGCCATGACAGCGTGGGCTGTGGAATATCTTCCAAAGAGGAGGAAAATCCCAGATGGCGAGTGGAGGGTCTCAGAGGCAGGCAGGGCCCGGCTCCCAGCAGTGCTCAGTTACACACAAAGGTTTCCATCTAGTCGGTGGCCTCATAGCATCAACAAGCCAGGTCAGGATCCGAGAGAGCGTCAGGAGGCTGGCCATTGAGGTGGCAAGGAGACCAGGGCATTTGCAGCCAGTGGAAAAGGCCGCTGGAAATTCCATTTGGCTTTCAACTTCAAGGTGGAGAGAGGCCAGGGGCTGGCAGAGGGGAAGTTGGAGTCAGAAGGGAAAGAGGGAAATGGAAGAGGGAGACCCGAAGGACAGAGTCAGAGACTTCCTCCTCCCCCCCCCCATTGCATGGACATATGAGCATTCTGGGACACATGCCCTCGCAGAGGCCAGAGGAGGATGCTGGATGTCCTGCTCTATTGATCCCGTTTATTCTCTGAGGCAGGGCCTCTCACTGAACCTGGAGCTGGGCAGGCACCCGAAGGTCCCTGTGATCCTCCTATCTGTGTCTCACAGCTAGGGTTACAGGTATGCATACTCACACCTGGCTTTTCAGATGAGAGCTGCAGAGACAAACTCAGGTCCTTATGCTCGCCCGGTAAGCACGCTGTTCGATGAGCTATCTCCCCAGTCCCAATAACTATACCTTTTTAAAAAATCTAAACAAAGGCAGTAGTAGCACACCCCCTTTAATCCCAGCACTCAGGAGGCAGAGACAAGCAGATCTCTAAGTTCGAAGTCAACCTGATCTACAGAGCAAGTTCCAGAACAGTCAGGGCTACAGAGAAATGCTGTCTCAAAAACTGTTTTCAAACAGCCGGGTGTTGGTGGCACATGCCTTTAATCCCAGCACTCGGGAGGCAGAGGCAGGCAGATCTCTGTGAGTTCGAGGCCAGCCTGGTCTACAGAGCGAGTTCCAGACAGCCTCCAAAACAATACAGAGAAACCCTGTCTCGAGAAACTAAAAAAAAAATTAAGCAAATTAGGGACATAGTAACTCATGCCTGTAATCCCAGCACTCAGGAGGTAGAGCCAGGAGGATCAGAAACTCAGGATCTTCCTCAGCTATGCATCAGTTTGAGTCAGCCTGGGCTACATAAGATTCTCTCTCAAAAGAACAAGTAACCTGAAAGACAGTTGAAGACTATGAGTGTACACACACACACACACACACACACACACACACACACACACACTAGTGCATGCCTGTGCTAGCACATACTTTTTCCTGCTCACACATCCATGCAACCTGTTCACATTCACTTGTAGCATTGGCCTCTAGGCCTGGCTCTGTAGAAAATGCTGTGTGACTTTCTAGAAAATTCCTCCCTCAGGGAAGCAAAGTTAATCCCAAATGGAACAAAGGATTCATCGGTGGGGTTCTAAAGTAACCAGGACTAGAGGATGGCTGATTATACTGTTTCCTTTATACAGCTACACCCCTCCCACTAAGCACATTCCCAGGGGGATCCAAGGGACCCAGGGGACCCACAGGGAGAACCCTGTCAGGACCCAGGGGGACCCATGGATAGGACCCTGTCAGGAGGGGACCCAGTACAAAGACTGAGGCTCATTGCAGTCAAGTGACTTCCCAAGGCCACACAGCCAGGACAGGAAGGAATGAACAGATCTCAAGACTGGACCCACCAACTCCCGCGGAGACCAGCAGGAGGCAGTGTCCTTCCTGAACTTAATCTTTTTTTTTTTTTCAAGACAGGGTTTCTCTGTGGCTTTGGAGGCTGTCCTGGAACTTTCTTGTAGACCAGGCTGGTCTCAGACTCACAAAGATCCGCCTGCCTCTGCCTCCCAAGTGCTGGGATTAAAGGTGTGCGCCACCAACACCCGGCTGAACCTAATTTTTTTTGTTAACGTATTTATTTCTATTTTACGTACATTGGTGTTTTGCCATGGGTACCAGAAAACTGGAGTTATAGACAATTGTGAGTTGCCATGTGGGTGCTGGGGATTGAGCCCAGGTCCTCTGGAAGAGCAGCCAGTGCTCTTAACCACTGAGCCATCTCTCCAGTCCCCCTGAACCTAGTCTTTAAGGGTTCAGGACAAATGTGATAAGAGGCAAACACCCATGTGTGTCCCTGCCCACAGCGGCTGCCCTGTCCATCTGTTCATTCCAGAGTGGGAGGATAGAGAATGCCAGCACAGGCTATGTCTACAATGTTGCATGATAGAGAATGCCAGCACAGGCTATGTCTACAATGTTGCCCCCAAACAGTTCCAGGCAGTACCCGCTCTCCTTGAAGGTGCTTCACTGATCACAGGTGGCTACCATATAAGAAAGCTGCTTCCATGCCCTGTTTAACAGATGAGGAAACGAAGATGCTTTTTGCTATGGGTTTACCTAGGGTCACACAGCCCTGTGCAGTCCCGCAGCAGTGGACACCCAGTCGCTCTTGCACACTTTTCTGGAAAGAGACCCAGCCTCTATCCCGGGCAGCCCAGCTTTTGGCTCTGCCTCAGCTTCCCCATCCAGACAAGACCTGAGAAGACCACCTTGCTGCGGCTGGGTCGGCTGCAGCACAGAGAAGGCAGGGAGCCAGTCCAGCAGGGCTGGACCTCACACATCCATCCACACCAAGATCCAGGCAGTGGAGCAAGCAGGCCAAGAAAGCTGTCCTGCAGCGCCACCTAATGGTCACATAGTCAAAATGTGGATAGCCGCACTGGATGAATTGATTACCTCTCCCCGAGACTATTTATCAGTAAAATGGGACAGTTCCTACTGTAGTGGATGGAATTAACACATGTGCAATACAACAGGAACTTGACCCTTGCTAGTGTTTTTTATAAGGAGTGTGTCCTTTCTGGATTAGTTAGTAGAGTTTGGATGATGAGGGCTGTCCAGGGACAATCAGCATTTTTTTGTAGCCCACATTCTATAGCATCAGGTATGCAAAACCCTCAGTACATGTTGGCCCAGTGAGTTCAGGTGTCCCTTTTCACTCACCATTCACAGGCTGGCTGGTGCTACATGGCTCCCACATGCCAGGTGCTAGTTAGGAGCCTCCAAGAGAGAAATAAACTCCGCAGGTTTCTCCCCACTGCAAAAAGAGTCTCTTCTGGGTTTGAAGGTAGAAAGTCTGCCAGGAATTCAAGAGATCCTGCATTTGATCACCAACACAAACAAACAAACCAAAATGGTGAAGAAGAGACACTTCCAGACTGGAAAGTCTCAAAATGTTTTGTTTAAGCAGCCCTTTTCATTCTTTAAAGTCAGGGCAGGAGAGATGGCTCAGGGGTTAAGAGCACTGGCTGCTCTTCCAATTGACATGGGTTCTGTTCCGAGCACCTAAACAATGACTCACAGAAGTCTGTAAAGCCAGTTCAAAGGGATATGATGCTCACTTCTGGCCTTCAAAGGAACCAGGAACACCTATGGTGAACAGAGGCACCAGAGGCAAAACATCCATACACATTTTTAAAAATTAAAAATAATAACTCAGTACCCCAAGAACATCCATGTGTAACATTTGCTGGTGTATGCTTTATTTAAAGGTGACTTTTTCAATACTAGGGATTAAATTCAAGCATTCTACCACCGAGCTAATACATTCTAGTTCTTCACTAGCCCAGACTGGCCTAGAACTTGGTACGTGGCTATGTAAGCTGCCCTGAAAGTTGCCATCCTCCTGCCTCAGCCTCCCAGTGCTGGTGTTATAGATGTTGTACCATTATGCCCAGCAGTATTCACTGATTCACTCACTTAACGACCAGGTCATTGCTTAACATAAACAGTGTTCTGCAGTAAACTCATTTTCAAGACAAAGCACATTATTCGCAAATGGTTTTATTTCTTTATCTATTTAGTTTTTTGAGATAGGGTCTTGTATGCAGTCCAGGTTGGCCTGGAACTCACAGCAATACTCCCAGTTAAGTTTCCCAAGTATTAATATTACAAGTGAGGGCTGGCCGGGCGGTGGTGGCACACGCCTTTAATCCCAGCACTCGGGAGGCAGAGGCAGGCAGATCTCTGTGAGTTCGAGGCCAGGATGGACCGACAGCCTCCAAAACAATACAGAGAAACCCCGTCTCGAAAAAAAAAAAAAAGAAAGAAAGAAAGAAAAAGAAAAACAAGTGAGGGCTGAAGAGATGACTCAGCGGTTAAGAGCACTAGCTGTTCTTCCATAGGACCCGGGTTTAATTCCCAGCACCCACATGGCAGCTCACAACTGTCTGTAACTCCAAGATCTGACACCTTCACACAGACATTCATGCAGGCAAAAGAACAATAAACATAAAATAAAAATAAATTATTTTTAAAAAAGATTACAAGTGTGTGACACCTCGCCTCACTGGCAAATGTCTCTAACGTGACTGGCTTAGTGGAAACCAGCTAGATTCTCGCGGTGCACAGGATTTGTGTGTTGCTTTGACGTTCGTGAAAAACTGTCTAAGCCTGACTAAGTGGCTTAGGTCTGTAATTCCGACTCTTGGAAGGCAGAGAGAGGAAGATCAGGAGTTCAAAGTTATCCTCAACTACACAGTGCATTCAAGGCCACCCCAACCTTACAGTTAGTTTCTTTTGTAGAAACTGAGACTTTTCAATACTTGGCCCCTGACCAAAATTGACCAGCGAGGCTGGAAGCCGAGGCTGTCAAAGGAGGCATAGCCTGGTTCACAAAATGCCTGTTGGGTAGGAATTAGACAACAAATGTGGCTTCGGCGCCTTAGACACGCCTCCAGTTCCTGTTCCTCCCTGGTTAGAGGAATTCTGTTAAACCCGCGCCCTAAGGGGGTACTTCCGGCCGCTGCGGAACCTTGGATTCCGGCTCCGGTTTCCACCGAGGCGAGAACACTGCCAGAGCGGAAATAAGGATCGGCGTGTGGGCGGGCTCGGCAGCATGTCGGCGGCGTTGCTGCGGCGCGGCCTGGAGCTCTTGGCCTCAACGGAGGGTGAGCACGGCTGGCCTTGGGACGTCGCGCTGGGCAGGAGGCCCCGAGGGAAGTGACGGGGAGGGTGGGAACAGGGTGGTGCACGCCCACCGACTCGGTCCTTCGCTGCCTTTCCCGACAGCCCCTCGTGCCGCCCCCGGCCAGGCCAAGGCGAGCGGAGCTCCGGTGAAGCGGACCCGCAGGGCGAGGGCAAAGGCCGCCCAGGCCCTGAAATTACGGAACTCAGCGAAGGGAAAGGTGCCTAAGTCCGCGCTAGGTGAGTGGGGGAAGCGTCTGCGAGGGCTTCGCGGGATTAAGGAGCAGCGCCGTCGAGGCGGGGCTCCAAACATTACCCGGGACTCTACAAGGAAAAGGCAAGACTGTTGAAATGGTGGGGCACAGGTTTCGAACCCAGCAGTCTAACTCCCACGTCTGAGCTCTCAGCTGCGAGTCCTCGCTGTTACCTGCTGTGTAGCTGTTAGCAGAATGAGGGAAAGTGAAAGAGGAGCCGGGAGTGCGGACACACCTGTAATCCCAGCGTTTTGGAGGTGGAGGTAGGAGGACCAGAAGTTCACTGTCGTCTTTCCTGGCTGCCTGGTTGAGCTCAAGGCAAGACCTGCCCGGGAAGGTGAATGAAACGCAAGATCCAGGTACTTATGAACTGTGTTAGCCTCAGTGGGAAGAGAAGCATCAGAGTCTCAAAACTAGCATGTAAGTCTTTGCTAAGTGTGTGAGGCTTGTGAGATAATAGACTGTACGGTGCTCCAAGGGAGAGTCAAAGTAACAAGCCAGGTTAAGGCTGAGCTGCCAGGGGAAAAAGAAAGGGCGGAAGGCATTATCCAGCAAGGCTTTCGAATCTGGAAGAAAGAAGGCTAACAGAGGTAAATGTGCCATGAACAAGAATCAAGATGGAGTATCCATCAGGGCCAGAGGACTGGCCCAGTGGTTAAGAGTACTTACTCTTGCAGAGGACCTGGGTTTTTTCCTCTGTGTAACGACTCTGACTGTCCTGGCCTTGAACTGACAGAGATCCGCCCGCCTCTGCCTCCCAGATGCTGGGATTGGTGTGCGCCACCAGCGTCCATCTTACCCTTCAAGGATTTGCACTGTTTTCCGTCTATCCCCAGATGCTCTTTCTCTAGATGAGTGGTTCTCAACCTGTAGATCGAAACCCCTTGGGGTCAAATTACCCTTTTACAGGGGTCACGTAAGACCATCAGAATTTTTTTATATTGCAATTCGTAACAGTAGCAAAATCACGGTTATGAAATAGCAACTAAAATAATCTTATGGTTGGGGTCACCACAACATGAGGAACTGTGTACTAAAGGGTTGCGGCATTAGGAAGGTTGAGAACCACTGTTCTAGAAGTTTGACAACTCTTGACTTTCAAGTCTTTTCAGTGAGGCTGTCTGAGGACCTTGCTCAAATTTCAACCCTCCACTTCTTTCTGTTTCTGCTCAGTTTTTCTTCATATGGTGGATAACCCTGACTAAACTGCATCCAGGAGAAAGAGGCAGGAAAATCTCTGAATTTGAGGCCAACCTGGTCTAGAGTATGCAGAGTGAGAGTGCCTCCACCCCCAATAAAATTGTCATCATCATATTTCTCAGTCCTTCCCTGTAGAAATGAGGCCAGAAGTCCTGTCTGTGTCCTGCTTCTTAGAGCATGGTACACAGTTGTGCTCAGGACATACCTGTTTTTATTTGTTGTTGGTGATGGGCTTTTGGTGTGTTGTTTTTAAAGTCTTACTACATAACACTGTTTGATCTGGTACTTGCTATGTATCTAGAAGCAGTCTGACCGTCTCAGCCTCCCCAGTGCTGGGATCACAGGTTTATATATACCAGGATGCCTGGCTTAAGACACAGTTGTTGAGTACTTGAGTTATATGACTAACTGAAAGCCATCCAATAGACAGGGACTTTCAGCAAACTAAGTAGATTTGGCTGAAAAGAGACCAGACTAATAATCAGAAGGCTTCTGTAGTATGATGAGTCTTAAAATGACATGCCCTGTCTGCCACCCACAGATGAGTACCAGAAACGACAGTGTCAAGACCACCTCAAAGCAAACCTGAAGTTTATGACCAGCGTGAGAAGCACCGTGTCAGAGTCTGTGACCCAGCAGGTTTGTCTGGTGGTGCAAGCTATAGGAAGGGCCCTGGGGTAATAGCCGAGGCTGTTTTTGAGGATCTGTGTAGATCTGTCTCAGCCCTGAATACAGTGTGGAGTTGGTCCAGCCCTGCCCTGAGCCATGTGATCTGAAGGGTTCCCACCTGTGCTTCCAAAAATGGAAGTTCTATGCCCTCACTCCAGAACCTTTCCAGATTCTGCAGCAGAACCAGGGCCGCAAAGCCTGTGACCGGATAGTGACCAAGACGAAGAAGAAGAAGAAGAAGGCCGAGGGCACTGTGTTCACTGAAGAAGACTTCCAGAAATTCCAGAGGGAGTATTTTGGCAACTAGGCTTCCCGAGGAATAGTGGGGGACAAAAGGCACCAACCTCCCTTGACTGTCTGTCTCTGTGGCTCTGTGCCATGGGTGACCAGCAGGTGGCAGTGCAATCTAGCCTGGCTCAGGAAGCCCCAGAGTTGGTATCCCAGGGACACTGGAATAGAGCTGCAAGCCTGGGGCAAATTTGCCCTCACATTGAGGTGGATTTGTACTTGTTCGGTTGGAGCCATCTATGCCCTGCCAGAAAAGATTCTGAACTGTAAGCTTTGACCAGGACAGGACCCTAGGGCTCTATGCTGTGAAACAGGGCCAGGTAGGTGACCCTCTGAGACCATACCGCCAAGAACTGCATGTCATCTGTTGGGTTCAAGTAAATGTGGATTTGAGCAAATGTGTGTTCGGGTTGTGTGTGCATGCGCGCTGTTGGTGTGACATCTCCCGTCGCGATGTGGATCCAGGTGCTCCGTGTCAGAGTCCCCCAGTTTTGGCCCAGTAGGAGCCAGAGGAGCCCTCCCACCAGCAATGCTCTCTCGGCACGGCCACTCGCTGCCAGTGTTGTGTAGGACGTGGACAGCGGGTCTGCGAGAATAGACGTGGAGCTGCCTCAGCCCTCCAGAAGCCTGGAGTCTGCTGTAACCCCAGAAAAGCTAGCTGGGTGCGCATGGTGCATGGAATGGGACATAGGTCAGGGTTTCAGGAGTCATCCTAAGCAAACATTGACATTTAAGTCTGTACCCCAGCCAAGGACACGGTGAAAGCCAGGGTTGTGCCACCTCAAGGCAAACTGGACCCTTTCCAGAAAACACAGTGCCAGACACAGGTGGCAAAGGGAAAGTCATGGAATGAACACCCTGTGGGAAGAATGGCACCAACGTCTACTCTCCAGTGAAGAGATGGCCTGTCAGAGACCAGGACACCCTTCAGTGCAGCTAGCTGGAATCCTGAGGAGGAAGCTGATAATCTTCAAACAGCCTTGTTCCCCTGAGCCTATGTGTCCTTTTCAGCCCAGGGGTTCCTCGGGTCATAGGACTCCTGAACCCGGGCACATCCCAGAGCTTCTAGCAGAAGGGTATTGATTAGCCCCTGCACGACAGTGGTTGGACTCCAGGCTCTCTCCTTTGCCTTTAAACAGTGTTGCATCTCAACTTGGGGACACAACTACCTGTATCACGTAAGAGTGGATCCATCCTCCTGTGGCCTCTGCCTGATGGGAAGCATGGCCATCCATCCAGGAGGTCGGCACAAGCAGGAACGTGAGGGAGGGTGCCATGACTATAAGCTAGTGAATTGGGAGCTCTGGGTGCTCTCCCTTCTCAGTTTCCCCAGTCAGGAGAGAGCCAGCAGTCTGCACTGGGGACATTTCCCCAGCCTGAGCTGGCCTGTCTCTGAAGTCACTTTTGAGCATTTACCGGATGTCCACCATGGCCAAGAGTACCTGGGGAGGTACTCGGCACTTGGGTCTCACTGCAGACATTCTCTTCCTGGGATTTTCTCTCTCCAAACCCTACATCCACCACCTCATCACTAGCCAAAACAAGTCTAGCTTCTGCCAGCATAAAAAGGGTGAACCAAAACAGTCCTGCTTCCTTCATCCAAAAACAAGATACCAAGAAAATGAGAAATAACCAGGACATTTTTAACATCTGTTTATCAGGCTGGATCTTTAAAGAAGCCTAACATAATGACTATGGAACAGAAATATGGGGAAGGACTCTAAGGTCACAGCCCAAAGTAAAAACAAAGCCAGTGTTTCTAGCGCTTCCTCCACTCTTGGCCAAAGACTGTAGTGGGCAGATCCCTTAGTGTGAGGCTGAGAATTCCAGATCTCAGCCTAGATCAGATGCAAGGAACTACATTCCAATAGCACTGAAAAGGCTGGTCAGGGAAACCACTCCTAACCCTGGAGGTGGAGTCCTGGCTCACCCCGACCAGGTTTATAGGTATAGTTTTGGCTGTCCTCAATCTTCCTTGTGTACAATTTCCTACCCTGTAGACAGTGCCCAACCATTGCTTAATCACACCCAGCCCTTTGACCTTAACCAGGTGGAAACAGCCCAGCTTCCCAATATAGCCATTCCTTGGTATTTGGTTTTTCTGCCCTCAACAGGGCAGAAACCTAATCAGCTTTGTTCAAGTACTGTACCAGCTTATCTAGGTGCCTACATGGCAGATGTATGGCACAAAGCCAATTATGAACAGATGGCACTCTGTTCCCCTCTGTAGCCCAGATTGTCTAGCTAGTCGGTAGGATACATACACCTTCCCTCATTACCTAAACAGCTCAGACCGGTGTTGAAATACCCAGTCAACTGCACCTGCTACTCAACAGAAGTCAATTAGAAAGAGAACGACACAGCAAACCTGCAGGGGTACTTTACTACAAAATAATTTATTACAGCAAACAGCTTCATCACAAGACTATGTACAAGCACAAAGCACTACCTTACTAGGGAACTCTCTTCTTCCCCCTTGCCTTACGGACCTCCTCTATCAAGTCTTTTAGATACTGGATCTCTTTGGCAAGAGAATCTGCCTTCTCTTTCAGAGCTTCATTCTTCTTTTCTAGCTCCTTACACTCGCCTGTGAGGGCTTCCTGCTCCGCCCGCTTCTTCTGGCGGTATCTAGTGGCTGCTGTCTTGTTTTGCTCCATTTTTTTTAGCTTTTTATCCAACTTTTCAATTTTTACCTTAGCTGTTAAAGAAACTCCAGGGGGGTCATAAGGTTTGGGTCTTGGTGACCCACGGGGAACACCTGGAGAGGGCAGACTGCTTGGTGATCCCCTGGAGGTGGAGGGGCTATGCTGGGGAGAGCCCAGATAGGACTCAGGGCTCATACAGATGCCACTGTCACTATCTGAGGGGGTGTCTTCATCCTTTACACACTGAGGGATTAGAGTAATGTAAGAAGCAGAGTCAGACTTCCTATCTCCTTCAGAGATATCAACTTCGCTGCCTAGCTCTAAACTGAAGGAATGATCTGGAGTGGAAGACAGGACCCCTGGAGAACAGGGAAAGGGTTGCAAGAATGCAAAGGGGGTAACCTGGTCGATTTTTGTTGCACTTTCTGGGAGATGGCCAATTGGGTTCACTGTCATGGGCTCCTTGTTAGTCTCTTGGACTAGAGGAGCAAAAAGATCACATGTGTCATCCAACGTGGCCAAAAGCTCATCTGGCATGGTATCCAGGTCATCCATTCGAAACAGAGCATCAAAGTCAAACTCTTTAAGATCCATTTTCTCCAACATCCAATCTGTCCCGGAGAATGCATCCTCTGCAAACAAACAAAAAAAAGATATAGTGAATGGCTCAGACCACATAAGGCAGAAAGCCATTAGAACACCAGGCCCACATGAAAAGAACATTCTGGAACAAGTGACCCACTCACCCTTGCCGGTGGTGTCTGAGGCACTGACCAACCCATCCACAGCCAGCCATTCGGAGGACCCTGCCTTAGCCTTGTCGCTGGAGAACCCATGAGGTTTGAAGTGCTTGGCCACCTCCAGGTAGTCATCTAAGAGACCTAGGCTTTCTTCAGCCCCCAAACCCGACTGGTCGAAGGGGGACATCAAGTCCCCCGCCAACACTTCGCTGTTCAGGAAGCTCATCTCGGTCATGTTGTAGGGCTTTGGTGGAATCGAGGAATGTGCTTATTAAATCGAAGGTGCCTTTGTCCGTTACAGCAACGCTGCTGCTGGATTCCGTGAAGAGCCTGCATGAGAATCCAAAAGCAAGTCCCGTCATCTTCCTAACTAAAATGCAGGATGGCCAAATCCCAGACGCCTGTGGATGGGGAGCACGCGGGCCCAAGGCCATTGTGTAAGCCTCCCCAGCCGCCGGCTCAGGTTGCACAAGATGGAGGCCCAGCCTTGCTTCACTGGCCACCCAGAGGAAGCAGCTTGTCCTTGTCTCCTAATACGGCCATGACCGCCGTGCCCCGCCCCTGTGACTCCCACCCCCGCCCCGCCGCCATCTTGGCCGCGCCACGTTCGCAGGATGTCACCGGGAAGCCAGCGAGCTCGCGGCTGAGCTGCCAGACTTCCAAAGGGAAGCAGCAGCGTTTAAGGCAGTGCTTCCCACTCCACCCCACCCCACCCCGCCGAGCCGCGTGCGAGCGCCGGCGTCTCGGGGCCACACAAACAAGGTCGACGCGTCCGGGCGCTCGTAAAGCCGCGTATGGCGGTCAACGCGCCACAGCCACAGGCCGCGCCCAGCCCCAACAAAGCACACGCCCTGCGCGACCGGCCCAGTACTCACGCCATGGCTTAAGCCGGTGGGGGCTGCCGCTGCAGAGCCTGGTGCTGCTGCCGCCGCTGCAAAGGCCAACGCTGCCGCAGGCACTGCTGCCTCTAATACGCCATGGTGGCCGCAAACCCTGCGGGAGGGGAAGAAGGGGACAACAGCGTACAGATCCTCATCTATTAGAGAGCAAGCAGAAATGGCCGCGACACGCCCTGCACACGCGTCTTATATGCTGTGCGAGCCGCAGCACCCCGCGCATCCGCCCGCCGTGATCACGTGACCCTGCCGCGGGCCCACCCAACCGCATCCCATTGACCTCCTGGCCCTCCCCAACCCTTCTCCACTGTGCTCGGGGAGTAGCTGTGAAGTTGAGACTATTCCGAAGGCCCCAAAAAAGGAGAAATGTACACTATTTCACAGGTTCATGGCTAACCCAAGTCACGTGTCGCCGCGGAGGGATCTCTCCACACGAACATCCGGTGCTAGCTCACAAGGCGGGGAGAAGCACTTCGCCAAAGCTATTATGGTCAAAGCCTAAGCTGCCTGGTTATCACGCGAGACGCCGACGGAGCCCGCGTCGAGTTGATTGGCCCAAGCGTGGCGAGTCATGTAAACCTCACGTTTCTATTGGCTCCGAACCTGAGCACTGTAGGAGCACTAGGTCTGTGCGGGAAGGGCGGAGCTGCAACACATTCCGGCCGCCAAACTGTCTTACCTTCCGGCTCTTGTCAGGGGTGACCCTGCTATGATGGCTGTCTCATGCATCGCTCCTAAATATCTTTGGCCTAGAACGCAGCAAACAGTTCCCCAGGCTTGACCCTTGCTCTGGAAACCCTTCTTCCCTATATGTGGTGTTCTCAGGACCGAAAGGGCAAGTTTCCAGCCTGTAGAGGCCCACCGGGGTTCCCTGGTCTGAGCCTTCAGCCTGTTTAGTCCAGGGACCCCCCCTTTGAAGGAGGAACAGAGAGGGGCGCATCGGAAGGATATTCCGGTTCCTCTAGCCCTGCATCTTTTCCCTGAACTCTATACTGGGAAAAAATACCTAATCTCAGAACTAACCTCGTTTAAATAGTCCCATTCTGCCATCATAGGGGTGCTTGGGGCTGGTTTATATATGGTCAGTTGCCTTTTAAGATCATGTTTTGTTCGTCTAGGTCTCAACCCCCAAGGTAGTTTTGAGTAACTCCTAAGTCTAACTTCCAGGCATAACCTTCCCAAGAAGTCATCCAGATGTGTGAGCAGCCACCCGACACGTGATAAGCGATGAAGCCAACCCTCCATAAAGGGTGCTGTTTTGGAAGTGCTGAGAGTCCCTCATCCACACTCCAGCCGCTGCCTTAAAGGCAGAAATCTTGAGTTTCGTTTCCACTTTTGTTGAAGTGACTCACACAATTGGCTCAGTCATTTGGGGCATTTAGCAAGGTGACATCCATTGCGCCAGTTCTTCAAGCGGAAGTTGTCTCTCCTTGTACTAAGAAAGAGACATGTAAAACAAACACTACTAAACATTTGCAAGACAGGTACTCTAGCACAATCAAAAGGTCTCCAGAGTACCATAGTTCAAAGTCATCCTTGACTCCATGGTTGGTTAAGACCAACCTGAGCTACTTGGGGGGGGGGGCAGGTCATTTTGATTGCTATCGTTATTAAAATCCCAAGCCTCTACTCCATGATTCATCCTGCTTCCTCAGAGGATGTTTTACTATTGACTGACACTAAGACAACTATAAACAACCAGAATTCAGAGCTGGAGAGATGGCCCCAAGAGCACTGGCTGCTCTTAGAGGAGCCAGGTTCAGACCTAACACAGTGGCTCACAAACCATCCCTAACTCCAGTTTCAGGGAATCTGATGCCTTTTTCTGACCTCTGTGGTCACTAGGCACATGCAGGCAAGGCACCCATACACACAAAGTAAAATGTCTTTAAAAATTAGGAGAAAAAAATTGAAACTCATTAAAAACTCAGTTTTTAATGGTGGTGCTGCATCTTTAATCCCAGCACTCAGGAGGCAGCCTCATCTAGAGTGAGTTTCAGGACAGCCAAGGCTACAAAGTAAAACACTCTCAATATAAAAACCAAAAATATTACCAGAATGCACAAGCCTTACATAATGGGTGTTTCTCATCCACAAGGAAATCTCCAGTGCATGTGTAAACATACAGAAATTGTTATCCTTACATACAAAGGCACCAAAAGCGTTAACTGTGTCTTCCTTTGCTCTAGGAAGGCTCATGACATAAGGCCATGCAAAAGGTTAAAACACTAACCCTGATTTGACACTGCAGAAGCCATAGGAGAATGTCTGGTGGCTTCTTTTTCCCCATTCTACTACAGAAATCCAAGGCAAATGCTTTAAACTGAAAACAGACCACCCATGTAAGAAAATAGTTCATATCACATACACACATCAGAGTTGTTGGAAAGGAGATTTTTATTTTCTTCTTCCCGTGCTGCAGAAGATGCTGTTTTCCCCAGCTGAGTTTCCTCCTTCAAGGAGAAAAAGGAATAAAGTTCTCTGGGCCTCAAAGCTAAGCTGCTCCCATATGGACCCAGCCAAGACAAGACACAAAGATTGGTGACTGATTCCATTCTACCAGCTTAACACACTGGTCACCCTGGAAGGACAGGGAAGAAGGCAAGTTGTAGACCTGGCCTCACAGACCAAGAGTTTAAAGACTAGAAGGTAATCAAAATAAAAGTTAACACCCATCTCACCCCCAAGTCTGCAATTAAATACTGAACCTACAATCCTGGTATTTTGGCCATTTATAAGTCTAAGAGGCTTACAACCAACCTCCCAGACTGGTGAAAGGGTCAACTCTAGTCCCCACTGCCTCATCAATTACCTTAGTCTTGAACTTAAAGCAAAAAAAAAAGCTAGAGTTGTAGCAGACCCTCTCAGTCCGATCAAGTCATAATCCCAAGGAAGTATACCTTGGCAGAAGGCTCTGAACACATGGAGCACCCCTGCCCTCAGGGTCCCTCAGGGCCTTGTTCCTGAAGCTGATTCCCCTTAACCATCTGAGCTCTTTGGAGGATGACAAGGGAGTAAAATCAGCCAGGGTCGTGCCTGAGGAGATTTTTTTATAAGTCTCAACTGTTAATATGAATAAAAATACTGCTCTCCTGAATTCTGTTCTTGAGAAAGGGCAACAGAGAAGAACCAAAGTGAACTTGGGGTTTGCTTGGTTATTAGGGGAGTGAGTACAGTTTTCAATATTTGGGAGTTACAAGGAAGGCATAGTGGAGGCACAGCCACTGGCTCCACTGACAAGTGTGAGAGGGAGGAGGGACAGTATCCCAGAGCACTGGGCTACCTCCTGCTCTTTATGACAAAGAAAATGACAGCAAAGAGGAAGGCCTACCCAGCTAATCAACAAACGCACAGGACAGAACACTTCCCACTTCTTGTTCTGAGAACTTCTAAGAGGCTCTTGCTTGTAAGATGGTTTTTGCAAAGTACAGTCCAAAGTCAAAGTTGCTCCTAAAGACAGGACATAAATTCACTTTTTCCTAAATTCATAATATATGGCTGTGATTATTTGGGACATTTAAAAGCTGGAGCATCTTCAAGTTTTAGTGTTGCATTTGCACTTTCTCCGGTATCTTAAATGGAATCAGTTCAGAGATGACAGCTTGGGAAAGTCTTATAATACTTATGACAGGAAATCCAAATCTATCTAAACAAAATCTGATTTTGCAGCGGTCTACCAACCGCCCCCCCCACAGGCACCAGCCAGAACCTTGGACCCTTCTATATTTATCTACTCAGTCTCACCTCGGCAACACACGTCTTCAACTCCAGGCTGGAAAGATGGCTCAGCCGCTAAAGGCTAGGCTCATAACCAAAACCATGTCTTCAACTCCAGGCTGGAAAGATGGCTCAGCCGCTAAAGGCTAGGCTCATAACCAAAAACTTGCCTTCAACTCCAGGCTGGAAAGATGGCTCAGCCGCTAAAGGCTAGGCTCATAACCAAAAACTTGCCTTCAACTCCGGTTTCATTATTATAAACAGCCAGGGGGCATGTTTCAGTTAAGGTTCTTGGCTTTCTCTCTTTCAAGTTCCTCGTACTACGTACACAAGTCCAAAAGAAACCCTGAAGGAGTCTTTACATGTACATGGGAGAGGAGGCAGAAAGGTTAAATATAGCCTGGCTCAACCTAACCTATGGGAGGGGGGGAAAAAAGGGCAGGTATCTATGCTACCCTAATTTCAAGTGGGTTGCTTCAGGGTCAGTGCTATTTATAGTCACTTCATGTCACCCTCATTAGGAAGGGCCAACACAGCTGCAAAGTGTGTCACCAAAATCACACTGATGGAGAGGTAGCAAGAATAGATAAAATAGAAAGACTTGATGGGAGAACAAAATGCTACATGAGCAAATCAGAACCAGAGTTACAGATTTTGAACCAGGCTGACTCTTGTCATGAACGGAAGAAAAGATACACCGACAGGACATACCAAACACCTCCCTTCCCCCACCATAGGATACAATTACATGGCCATAAATTTCCATCTTAGCAGCAGCGTGTGATGCCCCAACTCTTTCCTGTGTGTCTTATCTACCTCTTCCTAGGTAGCACCAATCTCCCCAGGAAACAGGCAAGGGACAAGGGCTGGCATGTTCATGTCCCCTCTGGCCTGTGGAGGTACCTATAGTTTTCAGCAAACTCTCAGGTCGTCGAGAACAAGGGTTGGGTAGGAGGTATTGGTCCTGGGTGTATTCTTGCTCTAAGGCAACATTTAAGAAAGGTAGAACCTGTCAAGAAGAAAACATGGTCATGGGTTTTAGCTGACACTCAGCCACCTATTGCCTTCCCTTGACCTCTACTGCTAAAGCAAGGCAATAAAAGAAACCAGCATCCTTGGAGGTGCTACCTGTGAAGCGGATGCTCTCACTGACAGCCATAAAGCACAATAAAATAGCTGCACCAGCTCCTCCTGTGTGGGTCAGTACCAGCCCTAAGTGAGAAAGTCAGCACAGGAGTTGCTTGGGGGAGGGGAGGAGAAGGGAGCTTGCTTTCCAGGAACCAGAGTCAAAGGCTCATTTGCCAGGGCAGAGACTCTTTGCCAGCCTCCCCCTGGGAATCTAAATACTGTCTCATCACTGCAGAGTGCAGCTTGAAAACACGCAATCAGCTCTTCTGTGACAGACCACAGGTGACATCTTCATTAGGCGAGTATGCTCCAGGGGCAGGAGCAAACAAGCGTGACCAAGAAAAGGATGGACAGAGAATAGAGGCCAAAGGGTAGACAGTGCAGAGCAGACAGAAGAGCAAGACATTTGGGGCAAAACAAACAAACAAACAAAAAAAACAGCCAACAGCTAAGGCCAGCACTCCACCTTCTGTTTGTTGCAGAAAAATCAGCCTAGAGCAAGGAGGCAATAGGAAGCACAGTGTTTGGTAACAAAAATAGGGAGGGTAGGGAAACGGAAGGGACGCCATTCTCATCAGCATGAAGTGAACAGGACAAGGACCAGCAAACAGGAGGCACCAAGGGACCCTGTGAGGCAGCAACCCTGTAGCCAAATGTTTCTAACGAAGACTCTGGGTCTCATCACCCGAAGCCTACTCCGGCCTTCACCTGCCCTACGTCTGGAGCAGCACCTCCGGCTCAGACAACGAGGAGTAGAGAGTATATCCCAGTTCGTCTATTTCTTGAGGAGTGAGCTCTGCAAATAGGTTCACCTTGGGATTCAGGGCACTGGGCAAGACTCCAGCCTCCAAGTAACTGATGAGCCCCCTCAGGGCCTGCAGGAAGCGGTCAGCCAGCATGTCTGGAGACCAGTCAGCCTCCTCCTGGGCCAAGTGGAGGATAACATTGGTTAGCTGGCTGGCAGTGAGGTGGCCCAGAGCTGGAGTGGACTTGCATATGGCCTTGAGGATTTTGAGGCACAGAGATCGGCAGCCCGAGTCAGCCTGGTCCAAAGCCCGTAAGCGTGCTGTCTCAGCAGGACGCAAGCTCAGCCGCCACAGGTTGTCATACTGAGCTAACCGGTGTGGTCTGGCCACCAAGACAGTGTCACCAAGGGTCACTGATGGCAGAAAGTCAATGACAAGATGTTTGTCCCTCTCATACTGCACTTCTAGTGTCAGGGCCTCTGGGGGTGGTGCTGGTCGGATCACATAGTCCAGGAGGGACCCTATGGCTGGCCAGTTGATAGAGCCTGCCACTACCTTCTCAAATGTGTCTGCCACTGTCTTTGGGGAGAGGTAGCCACCTACAACACAGCGGTCCCAATAACTGCTACCACGAGGAAAATACTCTGGGTTCTCACGACGGACCAGGAAGAATCCAGGGACATTCATGATGGTGTCCTCGCCAGGTATGCACGACCACAGGTTCTGCTCCAGCACAAGGGGGACAATGAGTTGGATGTGGTCAGCTGTCACCACCTGCCAGAACAGAATCAAAAAGGGGTGGTTTTGTTTTCAATTCTTATTACAGTTGTTTGTATGCACATGCACACATGGAATGTCTCATGGCATGAGGAGGTCAGAGATAACGCACAGGAGTCAGTTCTCTCCTTCCACCGCGGGGGACTCAGGGACTGAACTCACGTCATCAGATTTGGTAGCAAGCATCTTTATCTGCTGAGTCACCTCACTGGCCCCACAATTAAAAAGGTTTTAAAGGGCTTTAATATTCGTAAAATATATGCTACTTACAACATAGGTCCTAACATCTTGCACTTGTCAACAATAATAGAAACTAAGATTCAATCAACACACAGGAAACAGGACAAGAAAATACAATAAAGGATAGGTTTCTTATCAGCTACCCTGCCTTGGGCTTTTGCGTTTATTTATTTATTTATTCAGAGGTGGGGTGTCATATAACCCAGGCTGGCCTCAAACTGCATAGCTGAGAATGGCCCTAACCTTCTGATCTTTCTGCCTCCTGAGTGCTGAGATGACATGCCTATTTTATGCAATGCTGGGGATTGAACCCAGAGCCTACCTAATACAACGAGGCTATATCAAGTGAGTATGACTAAAAAGTGAGAAAGGATGGAGCAGAGAAATAAATACTGCTGTGGGACAGGATTTACAAGCAAGGGGCTTTCCAGTTGAGTCCCAGACACAAAGAATTTCCTTCCTTCCTTTTTTGTTAAAATAAAGATTTATTTATTTATGATGGATAGTGTTCTGCCTACATTTATACCTGCAGGACACTAGATCTCATTACAGATGACTGTGAGCCACCACCATGTGGTTGCTGGCAATTAGAACTCAGGACCTCTGGAAGAGCAGCCAGTGTTCTTAACCGCTGAGCAATCTCTCCATGCCACCACAACTTTTTTTTTGTTTTTCAAGACAGGGTTTCTCTGTGTCTTTGGAGACTGTCCTGGATGTAGCTCTTGTAGACCAGGCTGGTCTTGAACTCAGAGATCCGCCTGCCTCTGCCTCCCAAGTACTGAGATTAAAGGTGTGCACCACCAACACCTGGCAGAACTTTCTTGAACAACCACAATACTGAGAAGTGTCTGCTGTGCCCAGCCCCACCCTTCATAAGGACTGTGTTACCTGCAGATCATCATAGAGGCTGCCACTCAAGTACATGTCCCGAAGTGGCATATCAGGCAGCTTGGCCCGCAGGAAGCTCCGGAGCTCTGCACATATGTCCACCGCAGCTTGCTTGGCCCGAGCCTGCTCTCCAGCAGGGATGGCTGCCCGGTTCCGGTAGTAAGAAAGAAGTTTCTCCTGCAGGGACATGCGGAGTCGTGACTTCTTCAAGTCTACCTGGCCCCTCCTGGCCAATGGTTTGGGCCGGGGTGGGCAGAATGTATCTGCCAAGGCAAGAGAAAGAGGCATGTGAGCTCTGCCCAAGCTTGCTTAGTCCACAGAAGTCCTAGTCCCAGGGAGGAAAAGGACTCAGCACAAAGGGCAAGTTGCCTGTCATTCGGTGCTTAGAAGGGTCTCCCCACCACAGTAGCTCTAAGTCCAGAAACAATCCCAGAAAGTTCAGTTTCTCACCTGTGTCAAAGGCAGAGGAGTCTGTGGGAAGAGTCTGCAAAGACCGGCTCAGGCCGGTCTTCATGTCCTTGTTCAACAGCCGAGGGGAGCCCATCCAGTTTGGCTCTTCCCAGCTCCTCTTCCCGGAATGGCTCAAGCGGGTGGGGCTGGTAGGGGCACTGATTGCCCGATCATACATCTGCAATACCAGAGAGGACATATACCAGCCCTCCTCCTCCTCCTTCCTGACACTCCTCGTCCCCCAAACTCTCTGCCCTATCAAGTTCAACAAGTTTTTGTTGTTTTAGCTGATGGTGGTACTTGAGATGGAACCCATGTCCTTCTGCATGCTGAGTAAACACTCTACCACTGAATTATATGCCCAGGCAATTTTTTCCACTTTACTACAATTCAATTTTACTTAAATCAGGACTGTCTAACAAAATCACTGCTAGCCATTCATGAATTTATAGTATACATGCCAGGCAGTGATGGTGTTCACCTTTAATCCCAGCACTTGGAAGGCAGAGGCAGGCAGATCTCTGTGAGTTTGAGACTAGCCTGGCCTACAGAGTAAGTTCCAGGACAGCCAAGGCTACAGAAACTATCTCAAAAAACAAAAAACAAATAAACAAATTATAAACAGACCACTTTTTTTTTTTAAGTTTTTCAAGACAGGATTTCTCTGTGTAGCTTCAAACTACCCATTTTTAATTCGATCCTAGCTGTTCAACACAACAAATGGAACAATTCAAAGAAAGGCATCCCACTCCTCAGATAAATTTTTTTAAATAAATTGTTTTAGTCTAAACTATAGAACATACTGATCCATGCAGAAAAGCTCAAGAAATATTAAATAATTTATCCACAATGCTAAAATTGCCAGAAAATTGTTAATATGTGTCATATTTCTTTCTGGAGATATTTATGTCAACAAGATCAGACATTTTCTTGCTTAGATCTGAGTTTTTTATTTTGTAGGTAGGTATATGTGTGTGGAGGATGTGTGTGAAAGTCAGAGGATAACTTTTGGGAATCAGTTCTTTGCTTCTACCCTGTGGGTCCCCGGGACCAATAATTTTTTAAAGTCATTGTACTTGCATATATGCACAGCTTTATATGGTTTTTTGTTGTTGTTGTTGTTGTTCGAGACAGGGTTTCTCTGTATGGCTTTGGAGGCTGTCCTGGAACTCGTTCTGTAGACCAGGCTGACCTCCAACTCACAGAGATCCGCCTGCCTCTCTGCCTCCCAAGTGCTGGGATTAAAGGCGTGCCACCGCCCAGTGCTTTATATGTATTTTAAATTGCATATTATTTATATTATCCAATACAATGTAAATACTATACAAATAATTATCCTGATTGCTTAAGGAAGGATCCAAAAAAAATCTGGACCTATTCAGTGTAAATACAAATTTTGTGCGCGCTCCCCCACCCCCCGCAAGACAGGGTTTCTCTACGGCTTTGGAGGCTGTCCTGGAATTAGCTCTTGTAGACCAGGCTGGTCTTGAACTCAGAGATCCGCTTGCCTCTGCCTCCCAAGTGCTGGGACTAAAGGCGTGAGCCAACACCCAGCTTGTTTGTTTTTCAAGTCAGGGTTTCTCTGTGTAGCCTTGGCTGCCCTGGAACTCAGAGACCAGCCTGACTCTGCCTCCTGAGCACTGGGACTAAAGACGTGCACCACCACACCTGACCATGCAAATGCAATTTTTTAAAACATATACTAAGCCGGGCGTTGGTGGAGCACACCTTTAATCCCAGCACTCGGGAGGCAGAGGCAGGCGGATCTCTGTGAGTTGGAGGTCAGCCTGGTCTACAGAGAGAGTTCCAGGACAAGCTCCAAAGCAATACAGAGAAACCCTGTCTCAAAAAACCAAAAAAAAAAAAAAAAAAAAAAAAAAAGATAGATAGATAGTAAGTTTTATCTATTTAGAATACAATGTTCTGTCTGCATGTATCCCTGCAGGCCAGAAAAGGGCACCAGATCTCATTACAGATGGTTGTGAGCCACCATGTGGTTACTGGGAATTAACCTCTGGAAGAACTGCCAGTGCTCTTAACCTCTGAGTTATCTCTCCAGCCTACAAATACAATTTCTAAAATAATATTTTCAATCTGGTTGGCTGAAGCTATGATATGGACTCACAGACTAAGAGAGCTGTCTGTATATGAGTGTCCTAAGCACTGTTCTAAGCTTCTAGGTGTGTCCAACACAAAGTATGAAGATAGAGATAAATGTTTTAAAAGTAAGAGTAAGAAAAGGAAACAAGTATACGTGTGGTTAGTATTTTAAATTAGGTCATCAGGAAAGATATGGTAGTTGCTGTGTTATACTTGCTGGGATACACTTCTTTACATCTCCAGTGAACTCTTTATGGCACAAGCCTAGAAGCAGACTACCAGATGAGCAAGTCTCCTTCATGAGAGCCCCAGGCTACACAAACTTACCCGCTTAACCGCCAGGGTGGCAATGCCCAACATGGCTGCTCCACCCACACCCAGCACCAGCCGGGCATTGGAGAGCACAAAATCAATGGCAGTGCCGATGCCATTATCATCCTTCTTGCCTTTGCGCTCACCAGCGCCTGCCATTGCTCACCTGAGAATGAAGACAACACAGCCATCACCAACTAGGACCACAAAAACCATTCCTTTCTGTACCTCTGCACCACAATCAAGCTTACTGCATGCAAAATCTAGGACTGCATACTCTAGGGCTTAGAGGGGCAGGGAGTACCATGTCCCATGACTCACCTGGATACATAGGAAAAGAAATGCTGGGGTATAGTGTAGAAAAATCTTTCAACAGACCTGAGACTATAACAAATGTTAATTTCATTATTAGCCGGGCATTGGCGGTGCACGCCTTTAATCCCAGCATTCGTGAGGCAGAGGCAGGAGGATCTCTGGGAGTTCGAGGTCAGCCTGGTCTACAGAGCTAGTTCTAGGACAGACTCCAAAACAATACAGAGAAAAACCCTGTCTCAAAAAAAAAAAAGAGGAAGAAAATATAAATAAATGGGTGGATGGATGGATGGATGGATGCAGAGCCCATTAAACTATCCTTTAAACTAACAGCAGAACCAGAGGGTACCTCTTCCTTCCAAGTTGAAGCCAGCAGAGGCCTCATTGAGTCTGTCAGTTCTTGGCCCTGAGGATGACTGAAGAATCAAAGTAGGAACAGGGTAACAATACAACATGCGTTTTAGGGTCAGAAATTCTGAGAGCTGAGTACCTGCCTTGGGCCTTAGCTAATTTGCTGGGTGACCCAAATGCATCCCTTAACCCCTCAGGTATGAAAGGATAATGATGGCTTCACGGCCCAAACCACAGGGCTGTAGTGAGGAAGAGCATTGGTTGTAACCCTGAATGTAGTACTTCATCTACTGTAAACCCAGCTGATATTACATCAAGATTTCCATCCACCAGACAGGAAGGCTGTAACAGACTGTCCAGTTACACTGCATGTCTTAGGACGAAGTTCAAACAGCCTCAAAAACACACTGAAACTCTCCTGTGCCTGCACTCAGAACTGGTAAGCTAGCAGGCTTGCTGAAGGCTTCCCTGATAATCTACTTCAATACTCCCATCCCTACCCCAGGACCAAGTGGCGTCATAGACTGGATGACCTGGAAGAGAGCACTCACGAGTTCCAGAGAGACAGGTCCTTATTCTTTTTGTTGTTGTGTGTGTTCTTCAAGACAGGGTTGCTCTGTAGCTTTGGAGGCTGTCCTGGAACTAGCTCTTGTAGGCCAGGCTGCTCTCAAACTCACAGAGATCTGCCTGCCTCTGCCTCAGGAGTGATGGGATTAAAGGCGTGCACCACCAACGCCCGGCCCACACCTGGCTCACACCTGGCTCTTATCTCCAATTTAAAGATGAAGTACATGAAGACTAGCCCAGAGTAACTTACTCATCAGTAAAGTATGCAGTCAGGGTTTGAACCCAGAGCTTACACTGCTGGGAGAACCAGTCCAAGAACCCCAGCAGCCTGCACCACCACCTCATCTCTACCCACTAGACTTGTAAGCACTGTAGCTTCATGGGAGCATTCTGGCACATTAACTACTACAAGAATGTAATGTTTGACACACCAAGTGTACACTGTCATGAATGAGAGTCTTCTGTAATGTGAGAGGTTTGTCTGGTCATTTCTTCCAGACACAGGCAGTTCTTTAGCCCAGGCTGAAAAATTTACTACCTGTGCCAGGCTTTTCCAGACATAATTTGTTGTATAGCCCAAGCTGACCAGAAACTGGCTACCTGTCCCAGGCTAACTTTGAACTTTAGGTCTTCTGGTCTCAGCTTCCTGAGTACTAAGTGTATAGGTCTGTACCACCATACCTAGTTTCTTATTTTCCCTTGATGGCAAGATTTTTTGTTGTTGTTGTTTTGTTTTCCAACACAGGGTTTCTCTGTGTATTGTTTTGGAGGCTGTCCTGGAACTCGCTCTGTAGACCAGGCTGGCCTCGAACTCAGAGATCCGCCTGCCTCTGCCTCCCGAGTGCTGGGATTAAAGGCGTGCACCACCACCGCCCAGCTTTAACGGCAAGATTTAACACAATTCACAATCAAAACATCAGAAAGCAGCTTGGTAACTGCCCACTTCTTCAGACCCACTGCCTCCCCTGTACATGCAGGGTTCCCAACTCTGGCCCTGTACTGCAAAAGTCTACCAATCAACGCAAGTGTGGCTGAGCACTGAGGGTCATTACATAAGGTTCCTGCTTTCTGTTCAGGAAGCAATACCCTCTACCCAACTGGCAAGCCTTATACCACAGCCACACTCTGCCTTCCTTTTCCTTGTTTTGAAAGGTCTATGTTGCCCAGGCTAGTTTCAAACTAAACTCCTACCTCAGTTTTGAGTGCTGGAATTAACTAGCATGTATAACCACGCCCAAGCATTATGTTTTAGCCTCTTTCCCCTTCTCTCAGTGGTCACCAAGTCCTACTATTGTTTACACTGTTAGTTACATGTGGCACCTCAGTACCTCTGTCATCTGACCAAATTCGCTGCCTCTAGTATCTCTCATTCAATTATTTTCCACACTACCCTGGCACATTCCAAGATGCCAATGTACCCATCATTCCCTTAGAAAGCTGTGATGGTCCCCCATAGCAGGAAATTCACTGTCCTTCCATCCCTGGCCCAGCGTCAACTCCAGCCACACTACCTACACCATCCGAACAACAGACATGTTTCCCAGCGTGCAGTTCCCACGTGCAAACTTTTGTTTATTCTCTTCCCACTGAAGTTTCTACTTCTCATTTGAGGCAGACCTCAAGTCTTTTCTATAACCAACACAATTCTCTCCTACCACCCAAGCCAAAGCAAGCCATCTTCATTCGTGTCTCCTTGCTTTTCTATATATTTTTATTTATTTACTATTTATTTGGTTTTTTGAGATGGGGTTTCTCTAACAGCTCTGGCTGACCTTGAACTCACAGAGATCAGCCTGACTCTGCAGCCTGAGTGCTAGGTCTAAAGGCGTGCACCACCACCACCTGGCTTCCAAAGCTTTTTATACAGTGCCTAGCATAGCACTGTTCATACTAGAATTATTTCCCACAGAACTCCTCCTTAGATTGGTTTGTTGTTGTTAAGATTTATTTTATGTATGTGTATTTGCTTTGCAATATAATGTCTCTGGTCCATGTGCATGCCTGGTGCCTATGGAGGTCAGAAGAGGTCACTGGATCCCGTGGAACTAGAGTTATGGATGGTTATGAGCTATCTTCTGGGTGCTCGGAATCGAATCTGGATCTTATGCAAAAACAAGTGCTCATAACCATGGCTCCAGCCCTAGTCTAAAGTTCTTAATGGACCCTATCTTTCTTCTCTATCCCCAGAGACCAGGTATATAAAGGGACCTCCAAAAGGTTCCTGAATTAAACATGGCTATTATGCTTCAGGGGAGCTTCCTGATGTCAATGTCTTCAAGAGTAAATAGAGCTAGGGCCAGTGAGATGGCTCAGCCGACAAGCCTCAAGACCAGAGTTTAATCCCCAAGACCCCCAAAACAGACAGAGAGAAGCAACCCCCCTAAGTCTGACCTCCACATACATGCTGTGGCACATTTACCCACACCCGTGATAAACAAACGTAACTTTAAATTTAAGAAAAGACTAATATTCCACCTGCCAACTACCACTTTTCAGTACTTTGAATACACTGTCTAGGTCGATTCTCACCAAACCTAAAGAGATTAAGTACTATTACTCCCATTTTACAAGGCTTAGAGACTTGCCCTGTATACCACAGCTACTAGTTAGTAGTACCAGGATTTGAAAGCAGACACCGAATATCAGGATTGCTATACAATAATGATAAACTTCTGTTTCAGGAAGCGTGCTGTAATACAATACAATACAATATAAACTAAGTAGACAAGCTGGCTTGGAACTAAACTCTAATGACTTTAACCACTATCTTTTCTAATATTCTCATATACAAAATAATCTATGAAATAAAATGATGCCAATTCTGTTTTGGTGTGGCTTGTAATCCAAGGCCCATGTTTCTCAGATATAGGACTGGCTTCTATTGACATGTCTATTTTATCTAATGAGTTTTAGAGAGTAAAGGACACACTTTGGTGATTAAGGAAAGGCCGACCCTTTCCTAGCTTCTTGCATCAGAAAAAGAGAAACCTCCAGGACCAAGGGTCTACCTACCTGAGGCTTCCTAATGCATCTGTGAGGTGGGTTGGGGGAGTCACAAGTGTCTACTGAAGGCACCTTTGTCCTCTTCTTGGAATTAGGGTAGGAGGGGAAAGGGAAGAGTCCTAAATAAGGCCTCCAAGTTTGCTATGGAGGAAGGCCAGGCCCTTCTCCAGCTGCTTCTCCCGAGCCTCTTGATCCTCAAGCTTCTGATTTTTCCTGAATTCACGGCGGATGGAAGCAAAGTAGAAGTCTCGATCAGTGTAGCGAAGCTCTCGGCCTTGGCGCAACAGAGCCCGATACAGACTCAGAACCGCCTCTCGGCTCCACGGGGCCATGGGGGACTGCCAAGTACTGACTGCAACACTCTAAACAAGAGAAGACACGGAAGCCTAGAATCAGAACTGATGACAGCAGGGCCTTAGACAGTGTGGGTCAGGGTTCTTAAAGCCAGATTCAGTGACTTCTAAGGACTTCATGGTAGAGTGAGGATCAGACTCCTACCTCTTAACAGCCCCTCCTGGGGAAGCTCAGCTTATGGCTCACCAGGGCTGAAGAAGTAGGCTGCCTGAGTCCCGGCTGTGCCATCCCACTGCCATGGCACTTAGTACAATAACCCACCGAGTATCAGCTTCCTCACTGTAAAACAGGGACAGCGATGACATCATGAGAATACCTGCTATCTAAGGTTGTTTGAAGAAGCGCTCCTGCAAAGCACCAGTAATGGAACTCTACCACAAGGCATGGCCCAGAGTGGTGTGCAGACAAGGATTCAGCCATATCTGCATCCTGGCACCATCAGATGAAGGATACCCTGAGAGGCTCTCTTCGTTGCTTTTACTTTTCACTTTTTACTTTAGGTGTATGGCTATTTGCCTGAATGCTTGCCTGCACCCCACTGTATACCTGGTGCCTTCAGAATCTAACGCTGTCACATCCCCCGACACTGGAGTTATAGGTGGTTGTGAGCCAACCCGTGGGTGCTGAGAACTGAGATCGGGTTCTCTGGAAGGGCAGCCAATGCTCCTACCCAGTCATCCCTCTACCCCTTTGAGGTTTTTTGTTTTGTTTTTGCTTTTGTTATTTTGTTTGTTTGGTTTTGGTTTTCTTAAGACAGGGTCCCTGGCTGTCCTGGAACTCTTTCTGTAGACTAGGCTGGCCTTAAACTGAGATCCGCCTGCCTCTGCCTCCTGAGAGCTGAGATTAAAGGTGTGCGCCACATAACTGACGACGTTCCCAGAAGAAAGTAATTTGCCCACCTGCCACAGCAATCCAGACCCTAGCACTCTGGAATGAGGGGGCCTTACATGTGTGCAGCACTTCCGGGTGTTCGGCAAACTTTCCCAGCCAGGGCCCAAAGCACACTGGGCTCCTAACTATGCTGGAAGGAGGAATCCTCCCGAAACCCCTACGTGGAAGAAACGACCATTGTATGAGCTCAAATGTGTTTGAGAAGTGGAGACAGTACTTGGCTGGAAAAGAAAAGCTGATCTGGACTTCGGGCCCCAAGACAGAAGCAATAGCCTCCGACTCTCTAACTTCCAGCGCGAACCTGGGCAAGCCACCGTCTCTGTCCCGTTTCCCTTAACCGCAGAGCAGCTCCCCTCGGCCCGAAGGGTCTCCGGTGATGCAAGGGATGCAGAAAAACAGAGGGCTAGAAGGAGAGCGTCACTGGGGCTGGAACAGGATCGCCGAGTGACAGACTACAGGCCCGGGGTACAACTCCCGGAGGGCGGGGACGGGGACCCGGGGCCAGGCAGGCTTGATGATCGAACCCCGGCCTGAGGCTCCGAAGGGAGTCGGTAGCACCGGCCTGTCCGAGCGCAAGAGGGCGACCCCCGGCCGCCCCGATTCCCTCCCGCACTCACCCGCGGGCCACGCGCTACCTCTCCTCGGGACTCTCCACTCGCCCAGTACCTCTCTCGGGGTCACCCATCAACATGGCCCCTTTACTTCCGGGGCACGACCTCGCTCGCGGGGTCGACAGAGACGAGGTAGTCAGCACGGAGGCGGGCGGAGGCGGAAGGACTTCCGGTCGGCCCCTCCGCAGCCTCCCTCCGGAGGTGGAGCCGGGGACTTAGTCGGGCCCTGACCATCTCGGGGCTCCACCCATAGACGCAGCCCCGCCTCCTTGAGTGACGTCACCTAACCCCGGTGGGCCCCGCCTCCTAAAGCGTCGCTGTGCAGTCTGTGTGTAAACTCTGCGCTGGCTGGGTGTGGGCTAAGGGAGGGAGCTGCGCGTCCTCGCCCTCTTCCGCCTGCTGCCCTCCTCTAGCCTGCGAGGGACTCTGACCAGATGTGGATGTGGAGTTCCGGAGATTAGGAATCCGCCCCCGCCCCAGCTTGACTGGTGAGGTGACAGTTCAGCAATTACCAAACTCAGACTGGACCAACATCCAGAGATTTCTTCATGAAACACCTGCTGTGTTCCAGACCCTAGACTGGATACTTCACACTGCATTTTGTCCAACCCAGCCTCCCTGTTTGGTAGGCATCACTATTCCAGCTTTACAGATGGGAAAATCAAGGTCTGGAGAGGCTGGGTCGTTTGTACTGGGAGCTGAACTATACAGAGACTCAGGGCAGATCCCAAATTCACTGTTCCTCCAAAATATGTGTCTTTCCGTTCTTCTAGGCTGCCCCACTTTGCCTTTTAAAGAAATAATTTTGTGACCCAGATAAATCTTAACTGGTGGCATTTCTAGCTGGAAGACCAGGTAGCCTCCAAATGACTCATCAGTAGAATAGTTTTCCAATAGCGAAGGACAAGGAGACGATTTTCAGGGAGACTTTAGGACTACCCAGACACACACTGAGTCATCATGCATGTCAAGGTCTTCTTTTCTAGGTTCACCAGCCTTCCCACACCCACCCCATACTCCCAGTGTGACAGGGACAGGCATTAAAGTGCCCACACGCGTCTATGGCATTTTGTAGACCAGAGACTTGCAAAGGCACGGGTGCAAACTTCAGAGTTCTGTGTTCCATAGAACATGGGCTCTCTGGGATCCCCTGCACATAGTAGAGGATTGACAAGACCATCAATTTACATAATAAGGAAGGTAACCAAGTTCTTACAGGGATTGTGGCTCCAGGGGAACAGTCATTTTACCCAGGGTGGCATTTCACTGGAGAATGAGTGAATGGACATGTTCTAAAATGGACGTGTCCTGGGCCAGGGTAATGACGTCTGTCAGGCTTGGGAGGGGCCTTTGGACTTGTGGTATACCTGGGCAATGAGCTAAGTCTCCTGAGCCTTATTTTAGTCATCTATGACTTCTAGAAAGTGAGAAAAGTCCAACCTCCGAATGAAGTAACCCAGACCAAAAAAGACAAACATGCTATGTGCTCATTCGTATGTGAATATTCCCTATAAAATAAAGGATAACTGTGCTAAAATCCACAGATCAAGAGAGCCTACAATAGAAGACATTTTGTGAGTGGACTGAGGGCAGGTGGGGATGAGAACATGAACAATCAGGTTGGGAGGGCACAGAGGGGGAGAATGCTGAGGAGGAGGGGAACCCGGTACAGGGGAATCTCCCAGGACTGTATGGGGAGGACCCCAGCTTAGACTCCTACCAACATTAGGTAAGTACCCTGAACCGTCTCCTGTGACTAGATTGGTGCCTGTCCCAATTATCATCGGAGAAACATCATCCTGTAACTGACTCAGGCAGATACAGAGACCCACAGTCAAACATTAGGCAGAGTTTGGGAATCCTGCAGAGGAGGAGAAAGGAGTTTAGGAGCCAGAGAGGTCAAAGACACCATGGGAGAGCTCACACAACCAACTAATCTGGGCTCACAGAGACTGAACTGATAACCAGGGAGTCTGCATGGACTGACCTAGGCATCTGCATATATGTTACGGTTGTGTAACTTGCTCCTCTTATGGAACTCCTAAGAGTGGGAACAGGGACTGTCTCCAACTCTTTTACTGGCTTCTGGGACCCTGCTTCTCATACCTGGTCTCCTTGCCCAGCCTTACTACATGGGGAGGTGTTCAGTCTTACTGCAGCTTGATATGCCCTGCTTTATTGATACTCATGGGAGAGCCCTTTTTCTAAACAGAAACAAGGGTGGGGTGGGGTGAGGTGGGGGAGGGGGGAATGTGGGAGAGAGGGACTGGGAGGGAAGGATGGGGCAGGGGAGCTTCGGTCAGGATGTAAAATAGGTGACTAAAAAATAAACTAAAAAATAAAAAACGCCTGGGCGTTGGTGGCACATGCCTTTAATCCCAGCACTTGGGAGGCAGAGGCAGATCGCAGATCTCTGTGAGTTGGAGACCAGCCTGGTCTAATGAGCGAGTTCCAGGACAGGCTCCAAAACAATACAGAGAAACGTTGTCTCGGGGAAAAAAAAAAAGAAAGAAAAAGAAAAAGAAAAAACATACAACCTTGAGAGCCAGGGTGCATGTGCCTCATCAATCAAAAGAGTTCTCTGGTATGCCCATGGCCCTGGGTTCAACTCTCCCCACCAAAAAGAGCTGGATGTGATGCTCGCCTTTAATCCCAGTATTCAGGAAGCAAAAGCAGGTGGATCTGTCTGAGTTTAAGGCCAGCCTGGTCTACATAGCAAGTTCCAGGCCAGCCAGAGCTACACAGTGAAACCCAGTCTCAAAAAAACAAATAGATATCTTTAAATGAACAAACATTTTGTTTGAATGACCCATGATTGCTAACACTTTTTTTGTTCTGTTTTGTACATTTTCAATGGTGTATGTGTGTGTTTGGTTGGGTTTTGTTTCTTTGGAGAGGGGTCTTTTGGTTTTTTGAGACAGGTTTTCTCTGTATAACAGCCCTGGCTATCCTGGAACTCACTCTGTAGACCAGGCTGACCTTGAACTCACAGAGATCCAGCTGCCTCTGCCTCCCGAGTGCTGGGATTAAAGGCGTGCACCACCATGCATGCCCTAACCCAATTGTTTCTGACCTATTCAGTACCTGAAGCAAGTAGAAACACAGAAATCAAATCTGCAGACTCTGTTTTCCTGAATTCAGGTCAGGGTCAAAGGGCAGAGATAGATAGGTGTGCAGACCACACACACACACATAGAAGAGCAATGTAGTATATACAGGGTGGATGATGAGGGGTGAGACATGGGCTGGACATCTTCCTGGGCCAAGGTTGCTTGGGCAGGAATCTATAACTACCTGGGTGTGCTTTGGCTCATTCTGGATCAGTTTTGGAGATGAACCTTGCTACCTGACCGCTAGGTGGCATCTGCAAGGTCCTCAATATTTCCAGGCCTCAGTTTCTACACCTTTAAAGTTTGGTAGACATACCTGTAATCCAAATACCCAGGAAGTGATGGCAGCAGGATCCGGAGACTCAGGTCATCCTTGGCTACAGCCTGAGCTACATCAGACCCTGTCTCAAAACAAAACACCCATGACATCAGAACTTGAAATTGACTCATGTCAACTAAAGGAGAGGTGAGCAGGTCAATGGGGACTGTCTGCAAGGAGAATTACACCTGTGGCCAAGGGTTCCAGTGCCAGGTGAAGGGATGGTATAACCTTGCCAGACCATAGCCCCCATCTTAGCCCTGGTCCTAACAACAGTGAGAAGTTCCTGCCATGCACCAGGCTTGTGTCTGGAAAAGACCAGCCTTGACTGCTTTCTGAGGACTGGACGGGTGGGCTGAGGCCTGAAGGAGATCAGTCCCTAGGACTTGAGTGACAACAGCACATTTTACCTGGGACTGGCACTCAGATGCACCAGTTTGTGTAGTCCTCAACACAGATCTGCAGGCAGAACTGGCAGCAAGCCCAAAGACACCCAGGAAATAGGACCTTTAAATTCTTTATGTAAGGCAATGTTATGTAGCCTCGTGTGTACATATGTGCATGTGGGGGTGAGAAGGAGTTGTGTTCTGTTGCAAATACACACGTGTGTAGAGAAGCCAGAGGTCAATGTCAGATGTCTTCTTCAAGTGTTCTCTATTTTGAGACGGGGTTCCTCCCTAAATCTGAAGCTTAGCTAGTCCACTCAATTGGCTGCCAGCAACCCCCCCAAGTCCTCCTTTCTGCCTCCCCAGCCCTGGGATTACATGAGTGCTCCAGTGTGCTGGGCTCTTACATGGGTACTGGGGAGCCAAAGGCAGGTCCTCCATGTGTCAAACGCTTTACCAACTGAACCACCTCCCCAGCTCCAGCCTCAAACTCTTCCTACTTGGCTTCTCCAGTGCTGGAAGTACAATGCTGACATTAAGGAGCTCTGAACAGCAGGAGTGAGATCCGAACTCAGATCCGGAGCTCTGAACTCTCCGCAGGACAGATGAAGTCACTCAGGGCAGGGAAGGACAAGGAGAGACTGAACTAACACTGAAGAGACACTAAGGGACAATCAGGAGACTGGCTATCAAAGGCAGGAGGGGGGGCATAGTCACAAAGGGAGGCGTGGTCTCCAGGGAGAGGTGGATGTGGTCACAGAGGCGAGTGTCCCTGGGAGTTGGATATTGTCTCCCCACTTAGGAGCTGTCTGTGGCTAACTGATCCAGAGAGAAATGGGGTGGAAGCCTGAGGGCTGCAGAATGAATAGGAAGTCCAGGGAGAATTGGAGATTTTGTTGGGAAGCGAAAGAACAGGATGAAAGGACAGACCGAGGGGGACAAGAACCAATTGTGCGTGATGTGCCCGGATGATTTTTGCTTGAGGTTGGTGACCCTTGGTCTACCCTGCTGCGGGGGAGGGGCACAGGAGCCAGTTTTGGGAAGGAAGTTTGAATAAGCTAGAATGAGGGGAACTTCTGTGGCACACATCGGACAGGGGAGGTTCCCTTCCTGGAAGAGCAGCCCTGCTCCCATGAGGACGGAAGTCTGTAGTTTAAACGTCAC